ATAGAAATAAATAAGAAATAAATTAATATATTTCAAAACAATACCCCTCTACTGTTGTTCAGGTGTGATTATATCCTATCTTTCACTCTCATCTGAAATTATTTCTTACACTTAATCTTTACTTATATATTGACTATAATGATTACTATATTATTTTATTAAATATTTTATGTTTTTGTTAACTATTTGTTACAATTTTAACATTACATCTTTATTCAAAACCATTCTAATAATATTCTTGACTCTTTATTAATTAATCACTTTATTCTTATTATAATGATATTGTTAATACTTTTATCATTTGTTCTTTTCTCTTGATTTTTTTTCTTGAAATATACAATACATGTTCATTTTATTCATAATTCTATACTTCTATTTTCATTTCATATAATTGTTATATTTTTGATAAGTATATATTTGTTCTTTGATTTTCTAAGATAAACATATATTCTTTTGTGTAACTTTTCTTCTTCTTTATTTATATTTTCATTATTCAACATATTCATTATCTATTCTTCTTTATATTCTTTATACATAATCTTTTTTCTTTCGTATTTGCCATTTTATTTATTCTTTCATTTTATTTATTATATCATTTACAAACATCTTGTTTTTAATTTTTAATCATTTCTAATTATATTCACATATTAAATTATGTTTTTCAATATAACTTCTTTGTTGGGCAACGAAAAAAAAGCAAATAAGAGAAAAATGAAGAGAAAGAATGATATAAAAGAAAAAAGTGAAATTAGGAAGTAGAAGAAGATGAAAAGAATAAAAGTAGAATGTTGAGATTATAAAATGAAAGAAGATAAAAATGAATAATTCAAAATGAGAAAATAAATGATGAAAATAATGATGAAATAATGGATGTATTTTTTATTATAGAAATTAGAAATATGAAATAAAAAAGCGTTTAATTTATTGATGCAAATTATTTATCATTATTTTATTTATGCAATTTATTTTATTCTTTTTTATTTTTATAATTTTTATTTATATATATTATTTATTATCTTTTTTTCTTTTTAATATATTGATTATTTTAATTTATTATTTATTATTCTTTTATTTATTTTTATATATTCTTTTATTTGTTCTTTCTTATTATATTTATGAAATATTTCATTATTATAAAATAATTTTATTGTTTAATTATTTAAATGAATTATATTAAAATGAATTTATTTTATATTTCATTGTTTTCTTTTATCTTTATTTTATATTTTAATAATTTCTTTAATATTATCATTTTATATTATTATTATCTTTATTCTTTCATATTTTTATTATTTATTATTATTATTATATTTTCATTTCTTATTTTATTTTAATTTATTATTAATATTATTTATATTTCTTTTCTTTCTTATTATTCTTCTTTATTCTTATTATTTATTTATTTCTTATTTTTCTATTTTATTTATTTTCATTTGATTCATATTTTCATTTCTTGTTTTGATTATTTTGATTTGATTTAATTTTAATTTTTATTATTATTATATTTTTGATTATTCTTATTTATTTATCATTTATTTATTATTTGATTTTATTATTATCATTTGATTTATATTTATTATTTATTTCTTTTATTATCTTTCTTTTCTTTATTCTTTATTATTTATATTATATTCTTATTTCTTATTATTTATTTTTGATTTTAAATGATTGTTTCAATATCATCATTTTATTTATATCTATTATCTTAATCTTATATCATTAAATTTTATCATTAAATATTGAATAATCAATGTGATATAACAAAATAATTTAAATAATATATCATTATAAAATGAAATAATTAATAAATGAATTCATAATAAATATTAAATTCATGAAATAATGAATAATATAATACAAAATGATAAATAAAAATAAAAATGATAATAATAAATAAATAATAATACAAAATATAAATAATAATAAATATAAAAATGATATAATACAAATATAATAATCAAATTAATATATAAATAAAAATAAATAATAATAATAAACAAATAATAAAATTGAATATATTTTTTATTAAACAATCGAATAAATAAAATAAATAAAAATATAAAGAATAACAGAATAAGAATAAAAGAAATATATATAATAAATAAAAATAATAGAAAAATAGATAGAAAAAGAAATATAAAAATAAAATATAATAAACATAAAATAATAAAAGAATAATAAGAAAAGATAAAATAAATAATAAAAATAAATAAATAATAAAATAATAAACATAATATTTATATTAATAAAATTCTAATTGATATAATTAATAAAATCAAATATAACATAATATAAATAATAAATATGATAAAAAAGAATAAAATAAACACAAAAAATAAGAAATAAAATAAATAACAAAAATACAAAAACAAATATATTCAAATAAAAAATGAAATAATATAAAAAAGAAGAGAAAAGAAGAAAAAGATAATATATAATCAAATATAAATGTTATATGATTAGTATATAATATGTAATATATAATAAATAATAAATAATAAATTCATATAATATAGATAGAAGATATAAAAATTAAATAAATAATAATAAATGATAAAGAAATAATAAGAGAAATGATATAATAATAAATAAAATATATAAATGAAAAGATAAATAAAATCAATATAATATAAATAAAATAATAATAAATATAAAAAGAAAATAGATATAAAATATAAAAATATAATCAAAATAAAAATAAGATAAAGAAATGTATTAATATATAAGAAAATATATATAAATAGAAGTGTATTAATATATAAAATAAAATATAAATAATAAGAATATAAAACTAATAAAATATGATAAATATAAAATATATAGATAATATGATGATATATATATATAATACAATAATAAAAATAAATATAATAATAAAATACATAAATATATAAAAATAAAATACATAAATAACATTAATAACATAATAATAAAAATGTATACTTATATTGAATCAAATATCATTTCTGAATCATTTATAATTCATAACAATTTACCATAAAATGATATAAAATATAAAGAAATATAAATGATTATAGAATGAGTATTTAATTTACTTTTTTATTTTTTTATTTTTTTTAGGAGCAAAATAATAAAAACTATTATTTTATTGATTCAATTTATTTTACCCCTAAAAAAAGATGCCGAAGCAATACAAGAAACACCACAAAAATTATAAAAAAAATCAATAACAAAAGAAGGAGAAATCCATACCAATCAAGAAATATAAATGATAGAAGAATGAGTGAAAACACGTATTATCTGTATGGACAGAAATACATTAATCATTACCATAATAATAACTATCACCATAACAATTATCATAATAATTATAATAATAATTGTATGAATCATTTCACTCATCACTTCATTCATTTTCATCATCATAAGTATTTTATCAATAATTCAAATAGAAGCAATCAACATTATAATACAAATAAATCACATAATAAAACACAACATAGACATAAACAATGCCATAATAAAAAACAACAACAAATAAAAAATAAAAGAAATGATAGAAATACAAAAACAAGAATATTGGAAAAGACTATTTGAAGAAGAAATTAAAATACTTACACTACTTGAAGTAGAATAATTTAAGAACACTAAGATTAAAGAATATAATCAACAATAATGAGAAGATGGTATTTACTTTTAAGAGAAAAAAACAAAAATGATTAGAATAGAGAAATTATCAGTATGACACATGAAGAAGATGACAAACAACTAAATCAAAAAGAAATAAATGATAAATACTTAAATAAGAAATATACAATAATGAAAATGATGATAAAAATGAATTTACTGAAGAGAAGAAGATGTTTAATGAAAAATAAAAGATGAAATTAAAAGAAGAGGAAGAAAAGAACAATGTAAAAGATAAAAGAATAGAAGAATTAAAGAAAAGAATAGAGGAGGCTATTAAAGAGAAAGAAGAAATGAAAAAATACAAAAGAAGGACCAGACCATTAATAAATTATCAAATGACATTATGTCATTAAAGAAGAATCATGAGAATGAGATAAACACTAAAAAAACAAGAAATTGATAGAAAATTATTTGAATTCCATGCTGAATCAGAAATGAAAATGTCTGAAGTAAATAATTTATCACAACAAGTATACTTCTTGAAAGATAAATTATTTAAATTACAAAATAAAATTACACAAGAAGAAAAGAAGAAAGAATAGATAAACCACACTATATCTGACTCATCTGAAACACAAATTGTGAATGACCTCAACCCTAATGTTGTAGTAACTGATGAAATATCATCAAGTGAAGATGATCTTCAAAAAAAAGAAAGTTAATAGAGAATTCAATCGAAGAGATGTGAAATCAGCATAAGAAGATCACCACATCTGATAATGACAATCAAAAAAAAATAATTGAAACAAACAAATAGAGAAGAATAAATTCTAACACTCTATAAATGTTTTACACTAAAATTATTAGAAATAAAATTAAGAGGTCAACTTAAAGAAGAAGAAATAAAAAGATTAATACATGAAATTGATATTAAAATAGAAGATATTAATGAATAAAGAAATAATAAAGAAAACATTTAAAATAAAGAATGAAATTAAAATTGAAATCAATAAAAGAAATGAAGAAGAATTAATAATACACGAACTGAAAGATATTGAATTAAAAGAATTAATAGCCGGAATAAATAAGAAAGAAGAAATACAAGAAGATGAGGTAATAAGAATAAATAAAGAAGAAGATATGAAATAACAAGAAGATGTACAATTTATTAATTATTATTACAATAAAAACAAATACATCAAATAATTAATATCATTAATACAAATGAAATAGTAATCAATACATTAGATGATTACTACCATTATATTAAAACTATAACATCAACTATTAACATCATTATTAATAACAATCAAGAAAGAAGTTGAATGAGAAATATAGAAAGAATACTACAATCAAAAATATATAGATTAAGAGACTTGCTCCATAATAACCAATATATGAAATTAAAAAGAATATTACATATTAAAAAATATGATATATATCATATTAAAGTAAAAACAAATGATCAAATAAATTATTACAAATATCTCCAAAGAATGAAAAGAATAGAAATAGAAGTAAGAATAAATTGAAAAGAATTAGATGGAATTATAAAATGTTAAAATATGGAAAGAGACAACTTCTAAATAAGCCTAAAGAAGATGAATATCCAGATAATATTACTACAATTAATTTCTTGAAATGAATCTATGAAAATAACACCAATATAGATTTCATAAATAATAATTTATATGATATATTAATTGAAAATAGAATTAATAATAGAAGGTGTGTAATCACTCTAGATGAATTAAACCATGCAATAAAATTCATTGATAAATTGGAAAGCACATTGAATTGATAAAATACAAGGCTTCTTGATTAAATAATTAGAACAACCAAACAATTTCTTATTAAAATTATTTAATGAATGGTTGTATAATCCTACTAACATCCCTCTTCAATTTATCCAAGGAAGGACAATATTAATATACAAGAAATGAGATAAATTAGACCCACAAAATTACAGACAAATAACTTGTTTAAACTGTCTGTTAAAAGTATATACATCTTTATTAAAAATGAAGATAGAAAGCCAACTGATGCTAAATCAAATTGAAAAACAATTATCACAAAATCAAATTGGATGTAAAAAATATACATATTATCAAAAGAAGGATTATTATACAATAATATAATCCAACAATTATTAATTAATGATAAATGGAAGTGGGTAGAAACATATTATGATATCTCTAAAGCATATGATAATATTAATCATCAATTTGTTAAACATTGTTTAATTTATTTTAATATCACATTAGTTGTAATTAAAAGTATATTATATATATTAAATAATACACAACTATAATTATATTATATTCAACAAAATGTAGGTATAATTAATGTAGAAAGAGGAATAATACAAAGTGATAGTTTATCTCCATTATTGTTTGTATTATCTATTGTTATATTATCTAAACAATTAGATAAACAAATTAATAAGTTATCTATTAAAATGAATGGAGAAGAAAAACAAGTCCAGTTAAACCACATATTATATATTGATGATTTAAAGATAATAACAAACAACACCAATGAAATTGAAAAAGCCAACAAATTAATAAATGAAATAATTAATAGAATATGATTAAAAATAAATGTAGAAAAGAGTGGGATAATGACTAATATTAATGATCAAATAAATTGAGAATTAGCTGAATTACAAAGAGTAACTAATAATAACCCTTATAAATATCTTGGTATTGAAATAAGAGATAAAATAAATATTAATAAATATTGTACATGATTATTAAATGATGTATCTTCTATTCTATCATCATTAAATATTATGAAATATAGCAGCATCAATACAATTAGAAAGATTAATAATGATATAATCTCAAAATTAAGATATGGATTCTGTATTGTCCAATGGAAACTTGGTGAGTTTGAGAATATAGATAAACAAATAAGAAAGTCATTGATACAACTCCAACTATACAGTAGAAATATCCCTAAAAGTAGATTATATGTTACAATAAATGAATTAGGAATGTGATTAATTCAACACGAGACGAATGTGCTAAGGAATTAATAAGAATATATTTAAAATATAATATCAAATACAGAAATAGAAGAAATGATAGAGGCAGTAAAAGAGAAACCAAAATGAATAATTAAAAGAATGAAGAGAGCATTTTGTAAGAAAATTAATTTCAATGAATTAATATAATACAATTAAACGAAATAAAACATGATGTAAGCAAAGTATTTGAATTTGTAACAAATAAATTAAATGAATGATATTTAAATGAATTGAAAGAAATGAAGTGAATATATAAGAAATGTAAATTGTATATTTAATAACATGAAATTATCAGTAACAACATGGATGTCATTAAATATAAAAAGAAATGCATTCCTCCAAGTAGTAAAGATGCAAGAAGGAGTAACTATGACAGGAAATATTAAATCTAAAATACTCAATTGTGATGTTTTAAAATATTGTAAACATTGTTATAACACAATTCCATCTATTAGCCATATATTGTTAGGATGTAATGAAGAAGAATCAAATATTAAAACATGAATATGTATGTAATCAAATATATAAACATATATTAATTACCCATTTTAATGAATTTGATGAAATAGATTTTAATGCCCCTCCTAATTGTATTAATAATAATGAAATGATTATAACTTACAATAATGATTTATTGGTTAGTGATTATTCGTTTAATGCTAGAAGACCAGATATATATTATCAAATCATCAAAGATAAAAATGATATATTAATGATGTTGATATATGTCAAGATAGAAATATAGAATTAAATTATATTTACAAATTAAATAATTACAAAGAATTACAAGAGAAATTAATACAAAGTAGAGAATTAATTTATGTAGAAATAATACCTGTAATATTAACAATAAATTAATACACAAAGAAACAGTAAGAAGATTAAAGACACTAAAATTACAAATTGACTTCCCCAAAATACTACGAACAGTCATTATAAAAAACATGAAATACTTAATGTTCTACACAGGAAACACTGGCAACACATTAGAAGAAGAACCTTCTAATTCTCATATGTTAGAAGTGAACTCTATTGTAGAAATAGAGTATATTGAAGAAACTAAAACAATCACTTCTCAATAATCATAATATCAAATTGTGGATTTATCTATTATTTGTTATTTTTTTATTCAGATTATTTTACCCCTTTTCTTTTTTTTGTGGGATTTTTTATTTAGATGCATTATTTCTTTGCTTATTTTGTTTCCCTTTTTAAACCGATTAATTAAAACTTTCATTTAATTTAATTATTTGTGCCAGGGAAGCATGTTTCTCAATTTCTGCAAGACTATTTCTAATGTTGATTTTTCTCCCTGTTTTAATTCGTTCTTTCTTTGTTCAAATTCTGCTTTAATCTCCTCCTTGCTCTTTTTTAATTCTTCCTTTTTCATAACATCTTCTATCATTTCATTTGCTTGTTTAAGTTGTTTATATCCTGCTATTCGTTTTTGATATCCATTTTTCTTTTCTTCACTTTCACTTTCAATTAATAAGTCTAAATATTCATTAGAACTATTAACTTTACCATTTAATGCAATTTCAGATAATCTATTAACACATTCTACAATTCTTTTTTGTTTATCACGGCAATCCATTTGGATTTCAAGATATTCTTCTTCTAACTTTTTTAACATATTTTCTGCACTAGCCATACCTTCTTTACCTTCATTATATCTTTGATATATATCTTGTGCTGTTTGTTGTCTTGTTTCTGTTACATACTCATATTTATATTTGAAGTTTGCATGTTCTGAGTGATGACAACCACATACATTACAATATCCATTTTCAATACAATGACAATATTTCATTGTAAATTTTGAAACAAGAGATAGGTAATGACATGGATAATGACAGGTTTGATGACATTTCTTACAATTAGTTGCGTATTCTCCTTTTAATTCAACAGTTTTTTGTATCGTCACATCAACAGGAAAAGTATAATTTTTATTTTCATTAATCTTGTCACTATAAAAACTGATTTTTTTATATATCTGTTCTATTTCATTCATTTTTAATAAACTATTATTTAATGATATTCTTATTCCTTCAATTTCAGTTTTAATTTGTTCTCTTCTCATCAAAACTTCTCTGGATTGTTTTAATGATTTTCTTGGTAGTTTTATTAATTTTTCAATAAATTCATCAAAACTCTTCATACCTAACTGCCAAAACATTTGTGTAAATCCATCTTTAATATCATCATCATAAATAGCTGAATTATTAAATTTTAAATACCATGGCTCATCTATTTCTGGAATAATTGTACTGAAAACACACTCGTCTGATTGTAATGCTCCAATAACTTGTGGTGATTTACCATCACAGAATGTAAGCATAGCAATAAAATTATTTTTTACATCATTTCCAAATAAATTAATAATATTATCAAATATATATTTTTGACTTGCTGTTAATCTTACATTACTTGATTGTGCAACAAAACAAATAGCATTTAAATCTAATACTTTTGTTTCAAATGCTTTTTTGATTTGTTTAGTAATTTCTTTATCATATTCAATTCCTCTTGTATCTCCAAATCCAGGTGTATCTATTATTTTTATTGGTGGGGCTTTTTTTGTTCTTTTAATATTATAAATTGATACTTCACTTGTTTGACTTTTAGATTGGTCTCTATTTTGTTCTAAATTATCTTCATTTATAATTATATATCTAAAATCATCTGTTATCTCGATTCCATATAATGCATTTATAAAACTATTTAATAATGTTGTTTTACCACTTCCAGTTTGACCAACAACTAAAATAGCAATTGCATCACTCTCATCCTTTGGATTAAATGGTTCATTTGGATACAAATATATTTTCAATTTTCCTGTTTCATGATTTTTCAATCTTATACTTCCTTTAATGGGAATATTTTTTTCAGAGACAGGTGTAGTATTATTTACAGAAGTATTACGTGTTGTAGTATTACTTCGAGAGCCACGAGGTATTACAGTATTATTTGGTGAACCAATAGGTACTGTGGGAGTATTTAAAGAAGTGCTGTAACGTTGTTTTGGTGAAGTACTAAATGCTATAGTGTTACGTCGAGAAGTTTGGGATACTACTTTTGTTGTTATATTGACCCTGTTTTCAACCAAAATAGATGATAATTTTAATGACTGTTCTTTATCTCTTTCTATTTTAAATCCTTTTTGATCTTCAAATTGAAAACCTTTTGTCATACTTGTTACTATTTCAAGTTTTTTTCTAATATCTGAAAGAGAACTGTTCTTGTTTAATTGTTTTTTCATGAACGATTCTCCATTCAAATATATTCTAACACTTATAATATCCATTTCTGATGTATTTTCGTTCTCATTTTTAAGAATAATTTCATCATTATTTATTATATCTTCCACTGAAAAGGTTTCTTCATCATCCTTTTCAATTACATCATTCTCAGGCGTGTAGAAATGTGCAGACTCTGGAATATTTTGATTTGATTTTCTGATATCACTTAACTTTCTTTTCTTATTTATTTCAATAGTGCTAATTACTTCATCATTTAATTTTAATTTTATTCTTTTTTTATCTCCTGTTTCTTTGATATTTATTCTTCTTGATTCATTAATTATATCTCCTATAGTAAATGAATCTTCTTCATTTATATCAATTAAATCTCCTTCTTCTGATAGAAATTGTTGAGAATCAGATATCTTTTCACCCAATTTCTCTCTTGCTGTTTTCAAATTGTCTTGTGAATTCATTGGTTTAGTTGAAATACATTGTTTATTCAAATAGAATTTTACTACTACTTTTGACATTTAATGAATAATAAGTTTGTTTTAAGCTTAAATACAGATAATTCAGAAAATAGGGTTTTTTTAAAAGTGTTACTTCTTTTCTAACTGGTTAATTCTTTTAAACGTTATTTTTTTTATTGTAAACAACATCTATTTTAATACATTATTCTTTTTAATTTTATGTTTCGGTATATTTTTATTATTAATTATAAGTTCATGAAATAACATTACAAAAAAATTTTCAACAATGTAAAATTTCAAAATAATTTAATTATTCTTTATTTATTTTTATCTTTTTTCTTGAATTGAATTTTCTTTAAGTTAAAAATAGATAAAATTAATTGACTTATTTCATATTTTATTACAATTTCTTTCTTGTTTATTCTTTTAATTTTATTGTTAATACCCTTTCCTTTTTTTATCATTTCAATTCTCTTTATTATAAAATTATAATAACACTGAAGGGGGTAACAATTGTTATATATAAAATTATTATCTTTTGTGTTTCAATTCTTTCAACTTCATTTATATTTCTATCTTTATTCTTTTTCATTTTAAACTCTATATTTTCAATTTCAATTTGTTCTTTATTTTTCATTATCATTCTGTTGTTTTTGAATTTTAAAAAATGTCGTTGTTCAAATATACTTATTATATTCACTCTCTCAGGCAAAATATTTTGAATCAATAAAATAATAGTTTTTATTATTTTGTTCTTAAAAATAAAAAATAAAAAAGTAAATTAAATAATCATTCTATGTTTATTTATATTTGTTTATATTTTATATCATTTTATGATCATTTGTTCTGAATTATAAATGATTCAGAAATGATATTTGATTCAATGTAAGTACACATTTTTATTATTATGTTATTATGTTATTTATGTATTTTATTTTTATATATTTATATATTTTATTATTATATTTATTTCTATTATTATATTATATATATCATCATATTATCTATATATTTTATATTTATCATATTTTATTAGTTTTATATTCTTATTATTATTTATATTTTATTTTATATATTATTATATTTCTATTTATATATAATTTATTATATATTAATACATTTCATTATCTTATTTTCATTTTGATTATATTTTTATATTTTATATCTTCTTTCTTTTTATATTTATTATTATTATTATTATTTTATTTATATTGATTTTATTTATCTTTTCATTTATATATTTTATTTATTATTATATCATTTCTTTTCTCTTATTATTTATTTATTATTTATTATTATTCATTTAATTTTTATATCTTCTATCTATATCATATGAATTTATTATTTATTATTTATCACATGTTATATATTAATCATATAATATTTATATTTGATTATATAATAAACATTGATAATAGATTAACATAAATAAAAATTATAAAAATAAAAAAGAATAAAATAAATTGCATAAATAAAATAATGATAAATAATTTACATCAATAAATTAAACACTTTTTATTGTATATTTCTAATTTCTATAATAAAAATGGTTTATCTAATCTTTCTTTTTTATTATTTATTATCTCATTTTGAAATATTCATTTTTATCTTCTTTCATTTTATAATCTCAACATTCTACTTTTATTCTTTTCATCATCTTCTACTTCTTAATTTTACTTTTTTCTTTTATATCATTCTTTCTCTTCATTTCTCTTCCTTTTTCTCTTATTTCCTTTTTTCATACCCTCTCTAACAATTTGGTGATGAAATAAAATATTGACAAAAGTCAATAACAACATGTAATGTTAAAACAACATAGATATTTTAAATTCAATGTGAAAAACCATATAAATTGAAATAATGAAGTTATTATTTTAGAAGAAACAAAATAAATAATAAGAAAGTTTTGATATTGAAAGAAATTATATTGGTGAATGAGTGAATGAGAAATAATCTATTAAAAACTCACATTCACATCCTCATGTTATCTAATTTGATTGTATTTTCCAATTCAACAAAAACAAAGAAACAAAAATACAAATGAAGAAATTATATATTAATTTTAGTTATATTTCAAGATTATATGATGTTGATTGTTCATATTAGAACATACAGAATTATCTTAAGAAACATTAGAAATATGAAAATAATGAATGTTTAATAAATCAATCAGAATTTCATGTAATCAACTATAACAAAAAACATGTGAATATCCAGATTAATTAGAAACAACAAGAATAATATAATGAGTTAATAAAGATAATTAACAAATTGTACAACATTCAAGAAGAAAATGAAACAAGAATATTTTGATGAGATAATAAGAAGAAAGGAAATACATATTCAAATAAATCAAATGATAGAAGTAAAATAAAACAGAACAATAAATAAGAAATCATTATAAAGAAGAGAAAATAGAGTATCAATAATATTTATTGTTAATAAAACAAAAATAAAAATTAATTGAGATGTATTAAAATGAATAAAAATAGAATATCATTGAGATGAAATCATATTCAATACATTTGATTAATTTAATAAATATGAATTCAATTATTTAATGATTATAAATTTAAAACAATCTCATTTGATATATTCAAAATATTTTGTAGTACAAATTGAGAAAGTATTAAAATTATCATTAAATGTAATTCAATCATTCTTGAATCAATTCATATTATCATATTCAATGAATGTTAATACATTTTATTATTAAATAGATACAATAAAGAATATTCAATGATGATACAACATAATTCAAAAACAATAATAATAAATAATAAAATATATGAAATAAAATAAATACACAACAAATGATAAATCTTTGTGATAAATCTAAAACATCATCAAATGAAAATAAAAGAATAAATAATAAATTAAAATAAAATAATAAAAGAGATGTTATTGAATATTTAATAAAACAAATCATAATACAAAATGAAATGAAAATAAATGAAGATGATAAAAAGAATAAGAATAATGAATATATAAATCAAATATCAGAATAAATGTTAAATCAAAATATAATGTTCAAAAATTGAATCAATGATATAGAATACAAAATATAAATGATAATCAATATGTTAAACAAATTGAATATTTAAATATTATAACATTAGAAAATTCAAATAAAATGAATTTGAAGTAATATCTTGTTGATTATTTATTATAATTGTTTTATTTTATTTATTATAATATTTGAATATTAATGATTGATATTTAATGTATGAATGATGAATATTTATATAAAATAATAAATATAAATAATAAATATAATAAATATATAAAATATTCATTTTATATTATTATTTAATTTAATTTTAATATTATAATAATGAATTTATATGAAATGAGAATGTATTTATCAATATGATGATATTGAAATAAATAATTATATGAAATAACATA